ATATATATATATATATATATATAAAGAAATAATTCTGATAGGACTAGAGATTATTTTATACTAATATTTAAATTAATCATAGATCTATTTGTCTGAATTATTCTACAGTATAAACTAAATCGCGAACACAAGCTTGTTTATTGTGCAGTATTTTGATGTTTATTACAGGTAGTACTAACGCCCCCGTAAATCGATAAAGTAGAAGCGATCGAATAACATAAAAATCGTTCTTTTTATCATTTAAACTATAATTGAAAACTTACTGTGTCAACAATGTATATATTTGAACTGAAATTGAAATAAAAGTTAATCGAAAAAACTGTCTTATTTTAAAAGTACTCGATGCTCACTTTTTGCTGATATTTTACAGATGTTTTCACTATCATGTTTAAATATTTATTTAGATAATATTTAATTGGATTTACATATTACGCAGGCATTCAAATTTGTAGTTACTTAAAGTTGAAATTAATTGGCTACTGCTATCGTTGAAATAAATATAGACAATAAACATAATAAAAAACTGTTACTGAGAATTATCTTTGCCCTCTTAACCCGAATGTTGTGAAAGACTTGACCTTGACGGGAGTGTACCACTCTTTTCAAGTCATGTAATTTCTATATTGATAAGAAAGCTAATTATATAGAATTTATTACTTTAATCGCGGTTATTAACCATATGATTGTTTCACTGTACTAGTTGTACTATAATGTATCATTTTGCATATCTACGTCTCATAAATACAAATTCATTATAAAAATCACATGACAAACAAACAAATATTAGTGAGGACGATGAATAAAGCAGAAGAGGAATACGTCGAAAAAACATTCGTCTACAAATTTCCAACATGTACTACAAATCAAGAATACACGTTAGAAATTCCGTTAAAAATACCATATCATGGCTCCACAAAAGAGTTAATGCATCGTATAATGTCATCGTTCAAACTACCATGTTATGTGGAATCGGATTTATTGAAATCTCTGCAGCGTAATATCAAGGAATTTACACTGCAATTTCATGATGAAAAAGCGGAGAAATTTATCGAAGCTGCCAAAGCAGGCAGTCTAGATTTAGAAGAAATAATTAAGAACTGGGAGAAAATATACAAGCAGAAGACAGTAGAATATTCCGATCCCATTGGGACCACAGATGAGGAATTATTTGCTGCGGCGTATCACAGATTAGTGCATTCCCCATCTTTAGAACCAATTTTGCAAGAAGAGCACAAATATGGACGAGATGTTACTGAAGTAATTCAAATGAGGGATACCGACTATGAACGTCTCACGCAAAAGTTAGTAACATCTTACAACTTTTCTTTCCATTTCTCAGTTTTTTATGTGTATGCATTTATTATATATGCTTAAAAATGTGAAGCATAAAAAATACGAATATATAAAGTTTACCCAGAAATCTGACAATCTGTTTATTTGTTATTTATCGATTACCTTATTTTGGTTAAAAATAATAAATAAGAGAAAAAAGAAACAGTGTTTCAAAAGAAGGATTGTACAAATTCCAGGCAAACCGACGAAATGCGCGTTGCCGTCGAGGCCCTCGAAGCAGGATCTACTGAAAAATCCATAAACGACATGGCTGGTCGTCATTTCGAGGAACAAAGTCTATTACAAGGTTTCTGGGGATCCAAAATCGACGCTTTGAGATTAGATCAACGGCGGCAGTATCGAAATTGGATCATGAGGCTACTTGAAGAGCAACAGACCAGTATGGTATCCACACCAATGTAGGTGTCTCTTTTGCATTTCGCTAATCAGTTTAAGAAAATTAAACAAATCTTACTGAGATAAAAAATGTACATTCTCACGCAATAGGGGCTCGCCCATAGTACCGTTACCACCGTTGCGTCCAGCTCTAGACAACTTCGTTCACAGCGAGGAGAAGCAAACGACAGATTATCCTCTGTTAGAAGAAAGCTTTACCATACATTTGGGATCTCAAATGAAACAAATGCACAATATACGCATATTGACCGGAGATGTGCTTGATTTTTGTCGTACAAAAAATAGCGAATCCGGGTATGTCTAATAATTTTTACTGAAGCATAAAATATACTTGAAACGATTCCTTAATGTCTATGATAAGATTCTGTCTCAATCGATTGTAATGGAAAATACAATAAAAACACATTATACATTTAGGATGGATCCAACGCCGCAAAGATTGCAAACAGCGTTAGGACTGTATTCGAACGATCTCTGTGGATTGGTTCTTCTAAGCGATAATCATTTAGGCAGTTATTCTGGAATAACAAAAGGTGCCTTCTAATAGACTACGTCAACGATTTTCAAATTATTTTATCACTGGTTTTTATGCGCCTCTTGTAAACTTGAGTTCTGTACTATTGCAGAATTATGTTCGATATGTCAATTAACCACGGAATTCCATTTTCCGCCTATCGATGAGCAATTGGAAAAGACTCGAGAAGACGTGAAGGATGCCGTCGCCTGGAGGCAAGCGCATCACAGGGAAGGAAGCGATTCCCATGTAGGCGACAGTATTAAAAATTTAATGTATGGTTACGTTGGTATGCAAAACCGTGCGTGTTGTTTACAGACAAAGAAATCCACGACGAGCAAGAGCCTGCAAACAGGCGACGTTTTCATTACAAGACATTCCAATCTGGCGCAAGTTCATGTGGTGTTCCACATGGTTGTCAACGATTCTCTGAGATCCGGTAAATAACTAGCAGTTATATTATAAATTTCCTATGTAACGAATTACGGAGTTAAATGCATATTATTGATTTTATAGGCGATATCAACTCGAGACATCCCGCTATTCTAGGATTGCGAAACATCTTGAAGACAGCGTGTTGCAACGATGTGACGACGCTTACAATACCTGTGCTGCTTGTCCATGAAATGTCAGAGGTAATCTATCGCTTAGATAATTCAAACGGATAATTCTTAGACAATTAGGCGAAAAATATAAATAATCTACATCAACGTGTGCCGCCATAGGACATGACGGTCGCCTGGTGCACAAAACGGGCAGAGTTAGTTTTCAAGTGCGTCAAAGGTTTCATGATCGAGATGGCCTCTTGGGGTGGAGCCGAACTGAAGAATTTGCAGTTTCTCGTACCGAAAGTAAGTCCGGCGATAAGCATAATCCACTGACATTAAAAGAAGAAGGAAAAAGATTGCATTCACGTCGATATCATTCTTATCGGTTGCAGGGAATGTCGGAGGAGGTATTCGGAACGTTAGCCACAATGTTGCCTAGTATATTTCGGGTATCGAATCCATTAGTTTTCAAAGCTACCAGTACTCCACAAACTCCGAAAAAGTGAACGATTCCTCATGTCTTTGTTATCGTAGCATGCGTACAAAACGCTGCTATATTTATTGTTATGTATTGTGCATATGTAATTTTAATTATTATCCGCCGCAGGCATGAAAAAAGATATGACTGTGAATAAATGACTTTTAATGAGTTTTTTCTTTATATTACTTTCACACTGATTTCCCGTGAAGTTCAATTGATATTCGCAATGTTAAAGAAATTTTCCACCAAATATCTTAGGATTTACTTAATGTGTAAGCTGCATTTTTCTTTTTTAATGTTATTAATAGAATTAATTCCCTAAAACTGTTATATCAAGAGAATACCTTAATTACATAATTAATTATAACTTCTAAAATATTATGAAGCTCCGAAATTAACGCAAATTTTTATGATTGTAAAAATTTAAATTTTAATCTCTATAATTACGAAACTGTAAAAATAATGCGTAGTTTCATAACAAAATTCTAATCTTCAAGATTAAAAAGCTTCGAAAATAAACATAATTTTACGCATATCCACCGATAATTATAAACGAGATGTATATGAGTACATTATCGCCGTTAGATGCGCGGCACGAAGAGCGAGGTTTATCTCTCTTAGCCCGTATTTTTATTCTCTGGAGCATAGCGAAGCAGATATGTTAACGTTTTTCGGGCGCGAGTCTTGTCGCGAGAAACAACGTCAACCCATCGTTCTAACGATACATCTCACGAACACGGAGATACCGCTCAAACGTCGCTTATGATAATTGAAAAAATATGCGCGATTGATTGTGATGAAGAGACAATCGCTGATCGAGGCCCGCGGAATGAATTTACGGTGTGCACGACTCGCGTAATCGCTGGTTTATCACAAAGTGGTACGTTAGCCTTGGTGATTCTGAACTTCTGACCGGGGACGGATTAAATTAACACTGCTACTCTCGCGACGCCAACTCCGCTTCATTTTAGAAAAAAATATTTATTTGCGGGATCATAAACAATACGTGATCATTAGGTATTGGATAAAAACACGACGATAACCCGCAAACTTTCTGGTATCTTTGAAGATAATACCCATAAAAGCCTAAAAAGCGTTAATACGTGATCATGTTTTAACCTTGTTGATTTATAACTGTAAATAAAACAGCTAAATTGAGTAATGACTTACGAACTAAATTACACGGTATTCGAAAAATGTTATCAATCTATATACGAACATGAAATGAAAACAGCAATGCCTCCATTTGTATTAATGTGATATAATACAATTTCCAGATCAAATCGCGAGGAAGATTTCTGTTGAGATAAAGTAGAAAGTTGTGATTTTCTGGAGCGACGCGGATTAGCAACAGGCGTGTGTATACTGCCGATCGAAGTGCGGAGTGCATTATAATGCAATGATTCTTCCACTCCCCTCTTAATTCGGCACTGCAATCTTCGGCAGAGTGTCGCGGATGAATTCGTTGCCATTCCATCGGATCGTACTGCGGGAAGCATAGTTCACATTACGTGGTTCTGGTGGTGTGGTCGGCCGATCAAGTGCATCGAAGATCGGATCTTTTAAAAAATCGGTTAATCAGATAACTACTACCCGACACGATGCAGCTCGAATCGCTCGCGTTTTTCGTCATCATCGTTTCGTTCATCTCGGCGACAACGGTGGGTTGGTTTTTAATTTCACAGTGATTCCATTAATCAGATTATTTATGAATAAACATTTTACGATATCCTAGGATTCTCGATGACACTTCATTATTTGTGTCATGAATATCAGTTTCCGGTTGGATATCAGCTTATCGCTTTTTTAAATTTCATTGCTTTCTTGCGTGAACGCGTCTCTAAATTTACGCTCTAAAATTATGTTTCGAAAGACCTTTTTTTTTTATTTTCGATAAATACGTGCAAAACGCTACTGAATAAACAAGAATTAGTTTCAATATTGTTCAATCGCACATGTGTTCGAGTAATGATCCAAAGTCGTTTTATGTGAATAAATAAAATTAAAAAGAGGCTTGCATTGCAGGTAGACCTCTCATTTCGAAAAATGACGAAGGAAGATTTTTTTATAAGAATACAGAAGAAGATCAAGCTGGAAGACGTGACAGATCTCAATCTAAGGGGAAACGAAATTGACAGTTTTATAGATTGCTCTACTAATCTGGGGGCACTAAAAATACTGGACTTATCTCAGAATCGTCTTCAGCGAATCTACTTCTTATGCAAGCAAGAAATCAATTTGCAATTGTTAAACGTAAGCCACAATAAATTGGAATACATCGACGATAATGCTCTCAATCACCGAATAACGAAACTGAAGATATTAGATCTTTCTTTCAACAAGCTCACTGTCGTCAATGGGACCATGTTACAATATCTAACGGTAATGTTATAGAATTTTTTTAATTCTCTCCTAAAACATTTCAAATTTTTTCACGGAGATTATCCGCGAAATTGATTTTTTACCACTTTTTGCGCATCTGTATATCACACAACTGGAAAAGAATTTTTTTTCAGGTCCTCGAGTATTTGTCTTTGTCCTGTAATCCCATAGGGGACGGAATTCACGAAAGCGCTTTTTGGAGTTTAAGGGCATTAAAACATCTAGACCTGAGTAACATATCCGCGCCATACTTTTTAGCAGATTTCTTCACGACCTTGACGAACTTGTCGACTTTGAACCTATCCTGGAACCCGATCAGCGCGATACCTTTATTACCGATAAATTTACAAGAGCTAGATTTATCTGGCACTCAAGTGATAAATTTTGAGAACTTATATCTACCGCAGCTACGAGAATTGCGGCTAAACCACATGCCGAATTTGACATCGCTGGCGCTGAATGATCTTGAAAATCTAACCAGTCTGGAGACGTTATCATTGATCGGTTCCAAACGGCTGGTTCTGCTTAGTCTTTGGTCGCAGATTGGCATCGTGCTACCACGATTGCAGCGACTTTCGATAAAAGACTGCGGCCTCAAAACCTTGAATACCGAGCTGCGCCCTTTGATACAACGGACACCCGTTGTTGAATTGGAAAATAATCCTTGGGAATGCGATTGCAACTTGGAATGGATTGGACTGTTGAATTCGACCAGAAATCTCATTCGAGACATTAGGTAAGATATCGACGACGATATTACTCTCAGTTGGTAAGAGTTGCTAATATCAAGTAAAAGCAAAACAAATTAAAATGTTTAATATTCGCTTTCTTGAATTTATTCCGAATACTTATATTATTTTTTAAATAAATGTCATAAATATCTCTTTTACACATCTCGATAAAAATGTGTTATAAAATGATATAACGACAATATCACGCACTGTTCATCAAGCTTCAATTTTATTTCTTCAGATGTCTCGAGAATTTCCGTGAGAAGAAATTCTTTTCTCATTATTACGAGATCACATTTTGTTAATAATAAATTCAATCTTTATAATATATATTATTAAGTTTCTTATCTCAAAGTAATATATAAAAAAGATGTGAATATTATAACTACTACTGCAGTGTATTTTTAACAACATTTTATGACTGAAAGATACTCGCAAATACAGGGACATAATCAATCACTTTGTTAAACTTGTTCGACAGATGCCACACACCAGATCGACATCATGCCAAACTCCTGGCTGAAATCCTGAACTATGAGCTGCAATGTGAATACACGTCCGTCATCTATCCGATCCTGTGGACAGGCCTCTCGATATTGATCGTTGCCATGATCGTAGCCACGGTCTTGGTTCTTCTCAGACGGCCAATAAGCCAATGGAGCTTCAAGGGAAGGAACGGGGATACCGTCACGTACAAAAACGTCGTGGAGTCGAACAATGATCTGGTCCGAATACTGGCGGTCTCCGAGACGCACGAACGCAACGAAGAATGAAGCCAAATTGAAAGTGGAAAGAGGAAGAACAACACAGACGAGTGGACGGAAAAATCGTCCGCTAACGGCGGACGTTTCAGCAAGTCTTTTTACAAAAAGCTTTATTGTAACGGTTATCTTGTAATAACGTAAAATATCGTAATTGCGATGACCACCCATGGAAGTCGTCCTAAAAGATTATCTTATTGTTTTCTTTTTCACATAGGTGAAATACGTTCGTTTACAGCATGTAACTAGAACAAATGTCGATTTAAGACATTTTAAGTAAACAATATGAAAATTAAATTAATTTTAATATTCCTTGAAATATTAAAAAAAAATTTTTTTTGTAACGATATAAGATTAAAATTTTCGAAAAGGATGATTTTGAAGTATTCAAAATTTAGCTAGATACAAATCTGAAAAAATGATTTTGTTGGATCGTCAAAATAATCTCAAGCATGATGCTCGATGCTGCAGAAAGTTTCGACGTTCTAACAATTAATTTGAGCGTTACATTATTATTTTAACGATCTAATAAAATTATTTTCAGATCTGTTTATTCTGTATCTAATTAAATTTTTAGATATTTCAGCAAGATCCTCCTTTCCGTGCAATAATCAGTCTAAAGTTGATTTCTATGCCGATATATAACGAATTATCTACATTATTATTATCTGTATACAAACATATCAAAATGAATTACGATCGAATAAGAAAAGTTTCTCAGGCCTCGTGAACTGGAATGATTAAATTCAATGATCATATTCGAATTCTCGAACAGCATTCCCAGTGTCCGATAATAAAAACTGAAACCTCTGTAGTCGAATAAAACATTTGTGTCTCTTTTTTTCTAGCGGTAAGAATTGGCGTTTTGAAAACCCCTTTACCTTTGTTCCACACGGCGC